TAAAATGACAACCAAATAGATGTATTCTTGGATCTTGTTGTAGAATTTTCCGCCGCGCAGAAACAAGTCGACAAGGAAGGATGATAGGGTGTGTGGATTATGGTGAGAGATGGATAGGAGTGAGTGATTTTAGAAAAAGGAAGGAAAAAGAAAAAAAGCAAGTGAAAATAAAAATGAATGATAATTTTCTTACTTTTTCTTTTTTCCTTCTTTTTAAATTATTATTATTATTATTATATTTATAAATTATTTTACATCAAAATAAAAAAAAGAAATTTGAATTCATCTCACCTCAATTTATGTAATTATTTGTTTTTGTTTTTTTTTTAGGTTCAAAAATAATAAATTAATTCTTTTATTTACCAGAAATAATATTGAATTAATAAAAAATATGTAAAAATATCATTAAAAGAATAGCCCGCATCAATAACCCAATCAACCCAACTAAAAAAAGCACGTTTTTATTTCGTACTTTTGGTCAAACAACCAAACAAAATCGACTATTTGTCCACGCATCATTTCCTTTCATATATATAAATTATTGATTAAACAGAAGATGGCTGGTTACACTTGGTAGGTGTCAACAAACCTATGTACAAACGTTTTATGGATCTAATTTTTGGTTGGTTGAAATTTTACAATAAAAACTATCATAGTAACTATAATGTAAATGATGTCAATTTAACAACAATTCATTGGAATTGGCAAAAAAATACATATTAATATGGTCGGAACCCTAAAAAAGTTTCGGGCGGAGGTGTGTCCTGTTGTGTTGCTTGCTCCGCTGTTTGTTCCAGAGATAATAACTTTATTTATTATTATGGTCTCGCGTTTTATTTTATTATTGGTGGTTATGTTTATTTTATTTATATATATTTTTACCCGTTAAGACTAAACGTGATAAATTATCGTCAGTTATTGATTGTTATTTATACTACAAATATAATATAATGTTTAATATTAGGTAAAAAACGTCAAAAAAGATAATCGAAATTTTCCGAATTTTAATTTTTTTTAATATTAATTATTAACCTTTTTTTACTATATCAAAAAAAATCTCATTGTCGAATTTTGTCATATGTTAATCAATCAGAAATGTACTAATATATTAATGTTTCAGTTCATCCCATGTTCATAATAATAATATATAAAAATATAGCAATCAGATTATTTATTGTTCATTCTCCCATATATGTAATTCTATGATTTGTGAACAAGGATCGGGAAGGCAAAATTTATATTACCCGCCCGAAGTTTGTGTCAACTTTTTTTAATTTATTACTGGCATGATGGGGATGCTAGAGAGTGTTTTAGGGGTAGAACATACCTTCAAGTGTAAATTATGATGTTTTTACTAAATAAAATATTCATATATGATTAATGCCAAATAGTAAATGCTCACTTACAATCAATCATACGCACGAATTAAAATGTTCATTTGGTCGAAGGTTATAAATTTTATATGCTTGCAATCAATCAATCAATCAATCTTTTACATAATTGTTTACTCTAAATCCTTTGATATTATTTTAGATGACTCAAATTTTGATTTTGATTAGTGAGATTTTGGATGTTTGATAATTTATCCGAGTGTTTTCCTAAATTGTGAAATTTATTTGTTTAGATTAATCCTGTAAAAGTCGGGTATTCCTCGTTCCGCCAGTGCAAGTCTCAATGACTTTAAATATAACAAATCATACTCAAAATAAAATATTATTGTTCTCTTTTGAAAATAGTTCATGACTATAGTGTGTATATACAGACAGTCATTCCAGTTTTGGAACGCATTAATATATAAAACTTCTCTCTATAAGCACGTTTGTCTATAATCACAGCTTTAGCTGGTCCTTGACCGTATAATATTAATAGTTTAAAGAAAGCATCTCATTTTATATATTGTATGTTCATTTGATACACCCATAAAAGCCATAATTTGTTGTAAAATACCGTCCATAATCCATCTATTTAAGATATGTTATTATATATATATATATACATATTGTATATTATTAATACTCTTGTATTTTTCTAAATTATTTATACAACAAATTAATTTCTTTGCAATATATATACATATTACTATTTGAAAAAAACGTCCTGTGTTTAGTTTTTCTCCAACAAAGAACATCAATAATTTCTAATAAAACGTCCAACAAACCTCCCTAATTAACACTAGCAGTCCCAAATTCCAAACAAGTATCCAACATTAAATACAATTTTCGTTGACGTTTCTGTTGATTCTGTTGGTGCTGTTGGTGCTGTTGATGTTGCTGGTTTTTGTCGAACTTATTGCTGAAATAGATAGTTTTGACGTTGTTGAGATTAATGTTTGATCTTAATACTTATTGACGACGATGTTTATACTTGTTATGCAATTAATTGTAGTGAAGATTATTCAACTTCTATATATTTATATGCATATATGTGTCTATTATGAGTCAAAAACAAAATTGAGGGCGGGGTGCTAAATTCTGATTGGTTAATACCAATTGAATTTGAAATTCAAAAAAAAAATTCATTCGCGTGAGAAACTCGCGCACAACATATTATTTTATATCACATGACCGGAATGAAAACTTGTTAAAATATATTTATTAAATATGTTAATGTTATTTTATTTAATACATACTTTTTCGTCAGTAGCCTTGGAAATTTTTTTTACAAGTATAAAAATAAATTAAAGAGAGGGCTTTATGGTGTATTCATTATTAATTCATGATCCAAGCCCAAAAATTAAATACCTCATCATTACAGGTGAGGGAGTTACACTGCTCAATAGAACCATGTCAAACAAACTTTTACTTTCTCAATAAACCTCTGCTCTACCAGTGGTCATATTTTCATTTTGGTTGGAGTGGAAGATCTTTCTCCAGGGTCCTATTATGAAAATTTCACGAATGTTTTTGGGCTTACGAGCTTTTTATTATTAACTTTCTGGCGCCAAAATGGCAAGATTCTATACAACAGCATACGACAAAAGAAACATTAATATAGTTTTATGTATTGCTGGAATTCTTGAATTGTATGTATGTGTGTGTATATATATATATATACATTCATTCCACTTTCAGATCTGGAAATAGGGAACTTCTCGTGACTCTGTTCTCCATTCACTGAATAGCTAATAATTTAAAAGGCAAAATAATTAGCTTATCTTCTTCTATTTTCAAAGGTTTGGACGGGTCCTTTCCAATTTTTCATTAATGTTTCCCCAAACATAGGAAACTAAACTTTTTGGTGACGTCTGATTCAAAATTATCAATATTTCATTTTACCATCAAATCTATAACTGCAACCGCAATGCCTTTTGAATGTAATTGATTTTAACTTAATTAATCTACTCTGTTGACAAAATTAAATTTCTAAAACTAACAAGTCTTCTACTAGTTTGTTATTTGTTAGACGTTCATAATCAATTAATGTTAAAGCCTTTAGGTTTTGAATGAATCGATAATGCTTCTTTGATGACACAACGTACTTTGTTAATTTTATTTGTATTTTAATTAATCGAGCCAGGCTATAAGTAAGAAACTCTGAATTTTGAGAATGATAACAACGTAGCTCATAAAGATTTTGAAAACAGGCACCAAGTTTATCATCATCAACCATTCACCTCTCTGATTAGTGAACCTCTTTACAGTCTAATAATCTTTTTTTTTATCTTAATTCAGTTGAAAATTGTAGATTGGTGGGTTTTTCTAATAGTTCAAAAGTCAATCCAATGCCATTCTCACCACTTGATAGAAATTCTTGTTGTCTACACACTAATAAACAATTTATATATATCTATCTATTAAAGTATTTTGGTCATTTAAAAATGATTTGTACCACTTTTATTTATTATTATTATTATATTTATTATTATTATTATATTTATTATTATATTAATTACACAACCAATTAAAATTAAACAATATTTAATCCTAGGTCTTGATATTTTTTTAATAAATCATTCAACGCACCCTTTTCGAAAGCAATTGTATTATTTTTATTTCCGTTGAATTCCATTGTTAAAGGTTTAGGTCCTTTCCAATTTCCCATTAATGTTTCCAGTGGACCATCAGTAATAATGACATCACAATCAAATATTATAGACTTTAAATTTTTTGGCAATGTTTGATTTAAAATTGTTATTATTTTATTGCCATTCATCACACCAACCCAACTAGTCAAATCAAATTTTATGCATTTTAATTTAAAACAATTATTAAATAATCCAATTAATTGTTGGTCTATTTCAGTTTCGTATAGTATAGATAATTCTTCCAGATTTTGACAATGTCTTCCAATCAGTTCAACCAATTCACCCAACAAAAACATGTCTTCTGGTATACCGTAAATCTTCAAATCTTTCAAAGTTTTCCCATGAATCTTGATAAAATTTGACACGTCTTCTAAGAATGGCATATAGAAATCTGTAAATTCAAAACTTTCAATATTTGGAAGCAAAAGAGATTTTAAAACCGTTATTGTCTTACAACTCTCTAATTTTAAACTTTTTAAATTTTTAAATACTGGTATTAAAGAATTTAGTTTCGTTTCTCCATTACTTTTATAATAAGTTATTGATTGTGAATGCTTCAACATTGCATCTTTGAATTTAGGCGACAGGTTTCCTGCTTTGTCTGAATATATAACGAATTTTTTAATTTGATTTTGTGCTTCAATTAGTCGTGCTAGACTATTGTTGTAAAAAACATTATTATAGTGTATTTTCAAAACTTGAATATTTTTACATACATTTACCAATTTATCAAAGAATATATAACCATCACAAAAACTACAATTTAGTTCATAAAGATTTTGAAAATATCTATAATCCCCTTGATAATTAATCAACAATCTATTTACAAAGCTAGCTGTGCTAAGTTTCCTAATAGTTATCGATTGATCTATAACAAATTTCACCACACTTTCCTTCAAAAAATCAATTTT